TTTTTTTTTTTTTTTGGGGGGGGGGGTCGGCGGCGAACAAAAAAGGAATGCGACGTGGCCTCACCTGCACTCCCGCCTAGAAGGATTCCTATTGAACGCCCCCACAATAAGGATTCATAGTGAAATCCTCGACATAAGGGTTCCGATCGAAACCCTCCACTCAATGATTCCTACTGAAATCCTCCACATGTGGATTCCTACTGAAACCCTCCACTGAATGATTCCTACTGCAATCCTCGAATGGCAATGGCAATGGTGATGGTGATGGTAATGGTAATGGTGATGGTAATGACAGTGTTAATGGTAATGGTACTGGTAATGGTAATGGTATGGTAATGGTAATAGTATCGGGGTAGCGACAGGCAATGACAATGGCAATGGCAACGGTAATGGTAATGGTAATGGTAATGGTAATGGCAATGGCAATGGGAATGGCAATGGCAATGGCAATGGGAATGGCAATGGTAATGGTAATGGCAATGGCAATGGCAATGGTAATGTTAACGGTAAAAGTAAAGGTAATGGTAATGGGAATGGTAATGGGAATGGAAATGGGAATGGGAATGGGAACGGGAACGGGAAGGGAAATGGTAGTGGTAGTTGTAATGGTAATGGCAATGGTAATGGCAATGGTAATGGTAATGGTCATGGTAATGGTAATGGTTCTGGTAACAGTAATGGTACTGGTAATGGTAAGGGTAGTGGCAATGGTAATGGTAATTGTAATGGTAATGGTAGTGGCTCAGGGCAATGGCAATGGCAATGGTAATGGTAATGGTAATGACAGAGGTAATGGTACTGGTAGTAGTAATGGTAATGGTAATGGTAACGGGGTGCCGACTCGCAATGGCAACAGTAGCATGCTGAGGATGCTGAGCCTTTGCGCGCTCCTCTTCTTCTTCTTTCTGCTTATGCTGCTGCTGTTGTCACGCCTCGACAGCCCGCTGGAGTGCGAGCGTCGGTCCTCGAAGACATTCGGGGACCTCGCCGCTTCCACCTGACAACTGAACCTCCGCAACCTCCCCGCAGAGCTGCAGCGGTGGATTGTCTGCACCGCTTGCCTGTTCTCGTAGGAAGGCCTCGGCATTTGCTTTCTCAAGCTGCTGCTTCTCAAGCCTGTGATTTTCCCAGATCTGCCTCTCTGCGTCGCGAGCATCCCAGTCCCCGACGATGAAGACTTGGAGGAGCTCGACGCCGGACAAGGGCTCGAGCTCGATGGAGTTGAGGAAGAGGAGGAGGTCAAGCGCATCACAGAGGCACGCAAGCGACTTCGTCACCAGCTTGCTGCCGCAGCAGAGCGTGCAAAGAGAAGGAGGGTTGCGGCCCCAGCTGCTGCAAGTGGAGGGCGCGCTTGAGGACCTCACGACTGTCAGTGGCTGGGGCCAGTTCCAGCAGTCAGTGGACAACGCCACGTCCACGTTCCACCAGATGGGGTCGCTTGAGAATGCATCATCCCCGACGCTGTGTCAGGCAGTGCACTTGCTTGATTGTCTCAACAGTCTGGGCTCTTCGTTTGCAGCAGTTCTTTCTACATCGGCATCGGCGACATCGGCATCCCTGAATTATGCTCATGGAAAGGTGTTGCCTGCACACAGTACGAGTTGCGTACATCTTGGGAATTCTTCGACAGCGACGCAGACGGCGACTCAGCGCGCAGCCCCTGTCGGGCACACAACGTACTCCGCGAGGGCAATCGATCGAGTATGCCGCAACTGTGGCACGGGTCTTCCGAGACAGGCTCGTCCGGAGGAGGTGGGGGCCGCCGAGGTCAGAACTGGGGGGATCGCAACGGCGAGCGTCATTTCGGCGCAGAAGGAGGCGGCAAAGCTTTCAAATATCGCAGCTGAAGTAGTCGAGATTGAGGTTGAGGCTGGCGCACTTCTCATCCAAGAACACAATGTGCTCAAGCCGGCCATCGGCGACGCCGTGGCGAGGCTCAGGCATCGAGGTTGGCATTCTCACATTGAGCCAGCCAGACGAGGCAACGCTATGAACGCTGCCTCGTCGGGGGTTGCAGTTGGCGTCAGGCAAGATACTGGCTCAGCTGATCCACCGGATCTTGGAGGAAGGAGTTGCGCCGCCAAAGTCGAGGTGGACAACGCAGTGGGTCGACGGCGTGCTCCCTGGTGAGCAGCTCAAGCGGCTAGGGCGACCTTTCATCGTGGGAGGTGATTGGATTATGAGTCCACTGAATTGGAGGAGCTGAATGTTCTGAATGACGTTCCTGTTAATATTGCAGCTCCTTTTGAGTGGGCGTGCTCTGCAGGACGTGGAAGGAATATTGTTTTTTTCCCGCCATTTCCAAGTATTTCAACAGCTTGGTCACAGGAGTGCGAAGATTGAAGGGGCTCAGCATGGCGGCGCATTGGGGCGTCCTGCTTGAGCTTGAGGCAGGGCCAGGAGCAGCTATGGAACAGCAGGCTGCCATGCCAAAAAACATTCCCCGAAGAGTGTCCCCTGGGAGCGTCTGGGGGGCCACCTTCGCACGCTCAGGCACACAGAGAATGTGAGCATGCACGAGAGGCGCAATATTTTGATTGGTGCTCTCGGCAATGGATGACGCTGGCAGAGAGTGAGCTGGCTGACAGATACCATCTACCAGAGAACAGGCGTCGAGCTACCGCTGGAAGAGGCGAGTTATCGGACCCGCATGTCACGTTGGCGGCGGCGGCGAGGAAAGCGCCAGGACGAGGAGCTGAAGGAGATCCTGTGTCGAGAAACTGGAGAAGAGCGCCCGTGGCCATCCAGGATCTCATACATGCGCTCAAGAGACAGCAGGAGCGCGACTCGCAGTTCGCGACGTGAAGGTTGCGGGCGCTCCAGAATCCCAGACGTGAGAATTTGGACATGGGAAGCTCTTGTTTTGTCTTCTGGTACCGGTTTGAATATGAGTGGTGCTGGGGAGATGAATGGCTTCGCGACTGCAGTTGGCTTGCGGCGCGAGAGGCCGCCGAGTTGGGGCAGCAGCATGCTGAGCAGCGCGCGAAGGAATGGAGACAGGCAGTTGCAAAATCCGTCGGGCAGGAGCAGGCCGCGGCGCGCAGATGGAGCAAACGACCGACAATGTGGACGCAAGCTGAAGTCCACCCCAACACGGGCATCAAGTCGCATGCGACCACGCTCGACACGGACCTTCCGCAATGGCCCATGACATGGAATCACGATCCTGACACAGAATCCTTTGGATGAGGACTTCGCTTGCAGGATTTTGACGATGATGGGCAGATGGGACCTCTTGAAGTTATTCAAGGGGAAGACAGCCTCGGGCATCGACAAACTGGCGCCCAGAAACATGGCGTTGTTACCAGATGAGTACCTTCACGCTTTCAGCGGGGCGATGGAGGTGGCTGAGAGGACCGTCGAAATCCCCAGTCAGATGAAGAATGCAGCGTCACCGAGGCCCCCCAAACCTGAGGGGGGGGGGGGGGGCGCAGGTTGATCGGTTTGATGACGCATGCGCTCAGAGTATACAACAGGTGTCGCCGACATGTTCAGCGAGACTGGCTGCAAGAGCATGCCTGGCCTTGCCGCTATGCCACGGCTGGCAAAGGCTCGGGGAGAGCGGTTTGGATGCAGTCTGTCTTGGCAGAGGCAGGCAGAGCGCTCGTGAGGCACTCGGTCACGGTCATGCTTGACTTGAAGAAAGCCCTTGAGAATATTGCAAATGGTACTCTTTGGGATATTGGTTGCAGGCAGAAGTTCCCGAAGAGAAGACTTGCTATGCTCATCGAGACGCACGCGGGAAGAAGGAGCCTAAAGTTGGTAAGATTGCTTCCAGGTTCATCAGCACGAACCAAGGGGTCATAGCAGGCTGCCCGGGTGCCACTGCCATGATGATCTTGTTCGCGTGGGGCGCCTGTGACCAGGTGCACTCGTTGTGGCCCTCTCTCACTATCAGCGTAGTCGTAGATGATGGCAGCTTGCAAGCGACGGGCGCAGAAAGGGGTGCGACGACCGACGCATGGGAGGATATGCAAGGGTACCCACACACCGAGGACGAGTTGCTGCTGTAGGGCGCATACTACCGAGGTTTCGGAGGCTGGCGCATGGCGGCAGACAGATGGGTGAGCTCTTCCGCTCTGGAGGGCTAGCATATATTGGCTACGCGGCGAAGGTCCAGGGCATGAGCGACACGCAGTTGCAAACAGTCAGAGCGATATCTGGACATGCTCAGTTCGGATCACCGCGAGGAAGAAGCAGGACGATGGGGTTTCTGTTGACGGACTGTCCTCGGTCAGGCCCGACGTTCATTGCGGACGAGTACCCTTGGTGTATTGGCTCAAAGCAAAGTGGGAGCAGTGGGTCAAGCCGAAGGCGATGGCCCTGGCATTCATGCGGGCGCAGAACCGCACACGCTCCTGGCAATCAGTTCAGGGACCAGCTGGAGCAGTACTCATGACTCTTCGTCGAGTGGGTTGGAGAGCCGAGAGTTGGAATCGTTGGTTCACAGAGCGTTGCTCAAAAGTTGATTTGGATGATATCGGGGTCGGCGCGCTGAGGAAGTTGATCAATGTATCCACCAAAAGGCGTCCTCTGGAGGCAGTTCCTGGCAGTCGTGGAATGGAGGGGCTCACTGGGCCGCCGGTTCTGGAGCCAGCTGTCAAGGAGATTGCTGAACCCAGACGCAAAGGGGACTTCAAAGGAGCTGGACTACTGCGTGCGTGGCTGGCTGGAGGTTTCTTTAACCGAGCGAGGTTGCATGCAGTTCAAGCGACGGGCGCCCCGACTTGCGCCATGTGTGGTGCTGAGGAAAGAATTGATATGCACGGGTGCTTTCGATGCGATTGGCATCTCAAGGAAAGGCAATATGGGTGAGGATATGAAAGAAGACTCACGAGGTGGGAACGCGATGAGTACGGGCAGGACACCCATGCACTATGATGTTGTGCAAGGGCCTCTTCCCAGATCCGCTGTTTCAATTGCCGGGTGCAGTTGAGCGCCGCGCTATTCGCTGGCCTATGTGCACTGTGTCAGGGCTCATCAGTGGATTTGTGCGTGTGGATGGCAGCTGTATTTTTCCACACTGTGAGTTTCGAGCTCGAGGTGGACGGGCATTCTGTATGATAGATGAAGTCGGCAACGTTGTTGCGGCAGCCTCTGGACCAGTTCCGTTTCTATGGCAGACCTCAGGTGCAGCAGGGTTGCATGCCGCCTGGCAAGCAGTTCTACACAAGTCACAAGGGCGGCTGCACCTGCTCACGGATTTCAAGGAGCTACACATCGGCTGGCAGGCTGGGTATCCTTATGGCACACACTCTGATCACCAGTATGCAGAGTTATGGGTACACTGCTGGAATGCAGTGGAGGATGTTGGTGCACGAGATCGGCATCGAGTGTATTCCTTCGCACCTGTCTCAGACAAAAGCGAATGAGCTGCATATTCCTGTGGCCTACTGGCACGGCAACAAGCAGGTGGACTTCTACGCGAATCGCGGTGCGGCTATGCACCCCAGGAACATCCCTCAAGAGCGAGCTCGCCAGATGCGTGAGCATGCGGCGGCGTTGACACTGAAAACTGTGCTGCGCATCCTGCGCCGCTGCTCGAGGGCAAACTGGACAAATGTTGACATGAAGGAGTATGTTGAGATACCGATCGGTCTCACTCTAAGTAATGGCAATGGGTATATTGTGCGTAAGTTCGAGCGTAGACGGGCTTGCGCGAAGAGCGGGGATAGTCGTGCTCGCAGGTGTGATCTTGTGAACTTGAGCTGTGGAGGACCCCCTTCAGGGGGTCCAAGCGGCTCATGAGACGCACCGCCTGTGGAAAACGGGCCCGGTGGTTTGGTGTGTAGATTGTACTGCTCGTTGCGTGAGTAGAGCATATATGACAGCCAGACCGTGTAAGGGTAGACCTCCCCTGGGTTCTCCGAGGCACTTTAAGAGGAAGTACCTTATCCAGGGGAAGGACCCGTCAGGCGAAAAGATAGGACATGGGTTTCACAAACCTGTGCCTATCACCTCGCGTAGCTGATTTTCGGAATTCGCGCTTATGATTATCGTGTTTCTGGCTTGGTGCCTCGTTCTCGGAACCCCTCGTCGTCATCGGAACCCTCGGAAACTTTTTTCCTCCTCCTCTTCCTCCTCCTTTTTCTCCTCCTCCTACTCCTCCTCCTCCTCTTCCTCCTCCTCCTCCGACCCCATCTGCTCGGACCCCGTCGGGGAGGCCGGGGCTCGTCGGGCGGAGGGGAGGGGTCGCGCCGGGCAGGTGCGTTCAGAACCCGCGGGCCGAGGACGAGCCAGAGGTGGACACGGACCTGTCCCCGAGCTGGCAGAGGGCCTACGGGGACGAGGCCGCCCCGCCTGGGGCCGCGGAGGCTTTGCTTCATGTCCTTCGAACTTCCTTTCGTTCGCTTCGCTTCGCCCGCTTCGATCCGTGCGCCTCGATGCGCCCGCCTCGATGCGTCCGCTCCGATTCGCCCAGTGTCGACCTCGTTCAGGCTTAGAGAGAAGAGGGGGCGAGAGAAAAAGGGCGAAACGAAAGCGCGGGCGAAAGGACGGTCCACCGCGGGCATGCTCGCAGATATTCGAGGCTCACAAAACTTCAGTGGACGGTTTGTGATTATTTTCGGCCTCGATGCCCTCGACGGGCCTTGTGGACCATCAAAACGACCCAGGATGCAAGATTGGCCCTGGGGAAGTTGCCCAGATACGGGGGTCCACGCATCGAACAAATTGGAGCGCCGGATGTCTGGGCTCGTATCGACGGGAATATCTTGGCCGTCTCCGGCCTCTGGGAGGCCCTGGCCGGGCCCCAGGACCGTCAAAACACAACTCAGGATGGAAAACCGGCCCCCGGGAAGGGGTCCAGGCTCCTGGGAGTCACGTCGTGAAAAAATCACGACGTCGGGTGTCTGGGATACGGGGTCTGGGGTACGTCTGGGCCTTACCGCCAGACTGGCGGTCCGGCCCAGACGGCGGGCGGCGACGAAGCGGCGACGGGGCGACGACGGCGACAACATAGCCGCCAGACCGCCACGCCAGCCCAGACGACGGGCGGCGACGGGGTGGCGACGGCGTCAACATAGTCGCCAGAGCAGCACGCTAGCCCAGACGACGGGCGGCGACGGAAAGGCGACGCGGCGGCGATGGCGACAACATAGCCGCCAGAGCGGCGCACCATCCCAATTCCTTTGAAGAGAAGTGCGAAACCCTAAGCGCAAGCACTTCTTCCAGAAAGCGGCGGTGGACCTCGAGAGGTCTAGACCCCTGCCAGGACCGGCTTGTTTTCATCTCGAGTCGTTTCCGTTGGTCCAGGGGCCCAGCGAGGGCCTCAGAGACGGAAACCTGCCCAAATGTCCCATCGTGTTTTTCTTCGCAACGAAAGGAGCTTGGGGTCCACGTCGCGAAACGATCGCGACGTCGGAGTTCTGAGGACGTGCCGAGGGAGCCGTGCGGAGCTGCGCCCCTCGGCCGGGTCGGGGGACGCAGCGCCGAGCTCTCCCCCGCGGGTCGCGACCGCCGGCGGCTGCCGCAGAGGCGGATGGCCAAGGGTGTGCGCACTCCGTGTGTCCAGGGACCCCGATTCCCCAAGCACTCGACGAGGCTCCGAGGCGAATGCGTCCAGTGCCCACCCCCTGGACGAGTCGCGCTCGTCGTCGCCGCTGAGGCCGCACGAGCAGTGGAAAGCCACCCCGCGCGGCCATGGGCCGCTGGCCACCAGCCCTGAGAGCGGGGTGTCCGCGCGAGGAGTCCAGCAGGTGGCCATGGCCGAGGGGCAATCGTGGAATTCCACCCTGCGCAACGGGTGCTGCGGGCTGCGGGCCTGTTGCCATCGAACTGACAGTTGAACGCCGCTTAGCAGGCTCGCAGCCACGGGGCAACTGGCCACCGAATCGAAAGTCCAACGCCACTCCGCACGAGGGAGTCGAAGGTGCCACGGGCCACGGGCAACCGAATGGATAGTTGAACGCCACCTTGCCCGAGGGGGTGGCGGCACGAGGGGACCACGGGCCATTTGGTGCCGAATCGATCGCCGGCCGCCACCCCGCACAGGCGAGCCCCGCGAGGGAGCCACGACACCACCCGCAGCCGAAACGACCGCTGAGCGGCACCCCACACGAGGAGGCCTCGGGAGTGCCATGGGCAGCTCGCCACTGGGCAAGAGGCAGTGGGGCGCCGCACGGGACAGCCTCAGGGGAGCCATGCACGGGCCAGGGGCAGCCCGAATCGACGGTCGGGTGCCCTCCCGGGGGGCCGTGGGCCCGCGGCCGCCGCAGGCAGCCGGATCGGACTTAAGTCGGGCACGTCACGTCCCCTTACATGAGGAATTTTCAGAATTACCCCAGTGCGACCCTACCTAGAAGTTGGAACCCCTAGGAAAGCAGCATTAGTTGCTATGCTATGCTATGCTATGCTATGCTATGCTATGCTATGCCATGCTATGCTGCGCTATACTATGCTAAGCTATGCTATGATATGCTGCGCTATGCTATGTTATGCTATGCTATGCTATGCTATGCTATGCCATGCTATACTGCTATGCTAACCTATGATATGTCATGCTGCGCTGTGCTATGCTGTGCTCTGCTATGCTAAAGCTCAGCCAAGCTAAGATGAAGGTAAGCTAAGCTAAGATAAACCTGAGCTACGATGAAGCTAAGCTAAGCTAAGATGAAATAAGCTAAGCTAAGATGAGATAAGCAACGCTAAGCTAAGGGGACGTAACTGGGGGAACCGCGGGGCGGATGCCGGGGGAACCGCCCGGGGCGAGTTGCACTGCCCGGCCCCTTTAAGCTCAGAGAGTAAGAACCCTTCTAGGCAGAGCCTAGGTAGGGAAATAGTAAAACATAGTCTGGGGACTATTTTTGATTTCTGGGCTATATTTGAATATTCTTGACTATGTTTAATTTCTCCTCAAGATCCGACTGTAGGAGGACATGTTTGACCTAATCGAACGCTGAGCGCCATTCCGCACCAGAGGATCGCGGAGAGGCCGCAGGCCGCGGGCGAGCTGCTCAAGAGCCGAATGCCGTGCCGCGCGAAGGGGGTCATTTGGTAGCAAACCATGGGGGCCTCGTGTACCCTCGTAAGCCTCGTGCACCCTCGTAGTTCTCTTTTCAGCGTCGACTAGCGTCGATTAGCGTCCGGGAGTCGATGGGATAGCGCCGATTCAGCGTCGGTCAGCGTCGATGAGCGTAGATTTAGCATCGACTAGCGTCGATTCAGCGTCGATCTAGCGTCGATTCGCAAGAGCCGACAAGATGGTACGGGAGGCTCCCACGAGCTGCCATCGGGGGGTCCCGACAGGCCTACGAGCCACTGGTTCGAACGTCTTATCTCACGGCGGAGCCACGGCGAAGACGCGGGGCACTGGCCGCGGGGCGCTGGACGCGGCGCTGCAGGAGCGAGCTGGGTAGGCCTGCTCCCTCTCCTTCTTTTTCTCCATGCCCGCCGACGCGCGCTGGTGCGAAGTGCGTCCGCCGTGACTATAATCAGGCCTTGCGCTTTCCCCCTTCCCCTTCCTCATCCTGAAACCCTTCTTCGTTGCGCCCGAGTCCGGGGCCATTGCAGATTTCTGCCGCCCGTTCGTGGCCACGCGGCCGGGACAGCAGATGATGCAGTGCCGCCTCCTCCCCCTCTTTGTGTTTCCTCCTCCTCCTTCCTCCTTGTTCCGGCCGTGTTTCATATAGTAGGGGCAAGTCTAGTTGCTCCTGGTGCTTGGGTCAGGGGCTCTCTGCCCACAGGCTCGTGGAAGCTTTCATCTGTAGATGCCTCCCAACGTCCGGCGAAGGTTCTCGAGGAATGAACACAAACTTGAAGCTCCATGTCGTGCCGCTTTTCCTTCCTCTACTCTCGGACGTGCCCCAGGGCAGTCGCAAGAAGGTGGGGCTTGAGGGGCGCGAGATGAGGTGGGGGGGTAGCGAAGGCTTCCGAAAAGGAGCCTTAGGGCCCTTAGAGGAGCCCTTGAGGGCCCCACGCGGGCCCCAAAGGGGCCCTTGAGGGCCCGAAAAGGATACCTTTCTTCCCTTTCATTTATCCCCCACCATTGCAGAACTCATGCCCAAGGGGCGATGGACAGGACCCCGACCCGTACGACGACGATTTCGTCGAGACCGACATCTTCGACGGGCGCGACGCCGTGTGGCAGGGCGAGCGGCCGCCGGTCTGGCGCCCAGGGGGTGGCGCAGCGCAAGGCAGGCTCCTGCGCCTCCTGCTCTCCTCCGTCCCCCTTCTCCTGCTCCTCTTCGTCGTCCTCCTCCTCCTCTTCCTCTTCGTCGTCCTCCTCCGCTTGGTCCTCCTCTTCGTCCTCCTCCCCCTCCTCCTTCTTTTCCTCTTGGCCCTCCTCCTCCTCCTCTCCTCCTACTCCTCCTCCTCCTCCTCTTCGTCCTCTTCGTCCTCCTCCCGTTCCTCCTCCTCCTCCTCCCTCCTCCTCTCCTCCTCCTCCCCCCTCCTTCAAGAACCCTCGGCCGCCTCCTCCCTCCTCATGCCTGGTCCCCCTCCTCCTCCTCCTCCTCTTCCTCTTCCTCCTCCTCCTCCTCCTCCTCCTCCTCCTCCTCCTCCTCCTCTCCTCCTCCTCCTCCTCCTCCTCCTCCTCCTCCTCCTCCTCCTCGTCCTTCCCCTTCTTCTCCTTTTCCTCCTCCCTCCTCCTCCTCCTCATGCTCCCTCTCCTCCTCCTCCTCCTTCTACTTCTCTTCTCCTCGTCCTCGTCCTCCTCCTCCTCCTCCTCCTCTCCTCCTCCCCTCCTCCTCCTCCTCTCCTCCACCTCCTCCTCCTCCTCCTTCCTTCCTTCCTTCCTTCCTTCCTCCTCCTCCTCCTCCTCCTCCTCCTCCTCCTCCTCCTCCCTCCTCCTCCTCCTCCTCCCCTCCTCCTCCTCCTCCTCCTCCTCCTCCTCCTCCCCCTCCTCCTCGTCGTCCTCCTCCTCCTTCTCCTCCTCCCCCTCCCCCTTCCCCTCCTCCTCCTCCACCTCCTTCTCCTCCTCCGTGTCCTCCTCCTCCTCCTCCTTCTGCTCCTCCTCCTACTCCTCCTCGTACTGTGTTCCAGGGACCATAATTGGGCACAGCGCGGTAGCCACCCGCAGTACCGTATCCGCCTTCCCCTCCTTGTCCTCGTCGTCGCCGTCCTCCCCCTCGTAGTTTTCCTATTCGTCCTCCTTGTCCTCGTCCTTCTCTTCCTGCTCCTTCTCTTCCTCCTCCTCTGGGTCCCCCCTCTTCGTCCTCCTCCTGTTCCTCCTCCTTTTCGTTCTCCTCCTCGTTGTCGTCGTTCTCCTCCTCCCGTGCTTCGGGACAAGGACCGCCCCTCAGGACGCGGGATCCTCCTCCCCCTCCTCCTCCGCCTCCTCCGCCTCCTCCTCCTCCTCCTCCTCCTCCTCATGCTCTTCGTCCTCTTCGTCGGCCTACTCCTCGTCCGCCTTCCCCTCCTCCTCCTCCTCCTCCTCCTCCTCCTCCTCCTCCTCCTTCTCCTCGGTGGAGGGGAGAGTTGAATGGGGAGGTGGGCGGGAGACGAGGAGGGCGCCAGCGCTGATGGGGGACAACGCAGCGCCTGAGGTGGGCTTCAGTCTTGGTTCGCCGCCGCTCCTCTCATGCGAGGCGTCCGTTTCAGTTGTCGGCCGTCTTGCCCTTCATCCCCTCAACCCACGATGATCCTTTACGTCCGCGGGGGCAACGGAGGTTTCCCCTCATCCTCTTCGTGTCCGCGGGGGCAAGTGAGGCTCCCCAGAGGTCTGGACCTCCTCCCGGGGACAGGCTCCTCACCCCGAGTGCCTCTTGACGGCCCCAGGGGCCTGGTGAGGCCCCCCCAGAGGCCGAGCGTAGACACGCTGCGCGCCGTTTCTTATTGTTTTTCACAAAGCGAGGACATCAGTCAGGGGGGGTAGATACGGAACGTGTGGGGAGTCGAGGGGAGGGCGAGCATCCAGAGCATGGGGGAGATCCTGGGACTCGTGTCTATTCATTTGTGTGTGTGTGTCTGGGGAAGTGGATGGGGGGGAAGGCGAGCATCCAGAGCACATGCAACGTATGGCGGAGATCCTGGGACTCGTGTCTCTTCATTTTGGTGTGCCCCTGGGCCCATCCAGTCAGGGCCGGGGCTCCCTCTTGCGCGCGGCCCTCTTGGCGGGCCCGCCCGGGGACAGGCTGAGGGCTCGGAGAGAACGGCCTCCCGCGCCCTCTCCCGACCTCCGCTGTGACGTGCTCTCTGCCACTCCCGCGGCTGCAGAACTCCCGCCGGCGCCGTCGAGATGGATACACCAGAAAAGCAGCAGCGACGGTATGTCTCTTGCAGTGCAGGGGGGGTGCTCGTTGGGGAGTGTGCCCAGGAGTCCGCAGACCCTGGGCAGGATTCCTTCTCTGATATCCGTGGCTACACCTCAGTTGGAGTTCCACCGGCTTCCAGACTCTGGATTCCTTATCCAATGGTTCCTTTCCCAACGTCTCCACCGTATTACTGCTGCGCTGCCAGGGGCTGCCCTTTGGCCGCCCCCGCGCGCTCCCCGCGGCCCCGCCGCGTGAGAGGGTGTCCCCGCGCCCCTTCCCCTCCCTCCGCGGCCGCCCTCTCTTTCTCTTTCGCGCTCTCTTGCGCGTGGGCCACTTCGCGGCTCCCGTGGCCAGGTGTTGCTACTCGCGCGAGCGGATTGCCTCTGCCGCGCCGCGGCGGAAAAGAATGTATTTTGCAGTCTTCGGCCTCCGGGGTCCCTCGCTGGTGTCGCTCCCAAAAGGGCGACGCGCGCGCCAAGAAATCTTATAGTCTATGTCTGGTGGCAGGCAGGCGCTTTCTGGCCAGACCGCTGAGGTGAGATCGATCTATTGTCATATCGCTGTGCTCAATGATCTGGTCGGACGCACGCCTCCAAGGAAGACACTTTGAACTCCTGTGCAAAAGGCTTGAACTCTAACTCGCTACATCTCCAATCAAGTCAATTTCATCTTTGTCGTCGTCGTTTTGTTGGGCGGCGTCGACGATGAAGACGGTGGAGGCTTCGGCAGTGGCCGCCGCGGGGGGGGGTGATTCTTTTCCCTGTATAGTGTTCGGTCCCAGTCTGCCAAGAAGCGTGTCCAAGAAGTAATCCTGTTCATGGTAACAAGGGGATTCATTAAAGACCTGTCGCGGTTACTAAGTAAGCCCTTCCTGCGTCCCAAATCAGATCGTCGGAGACGTGGGCCTGAGTCGTACTGCCCGAGGCCCACGGGTGTGGCGCTCGCTGGGCCGGCCCGTTCGCACCTGCTCCCTCTTCCCTTGGGGAGGCGTGGCCAGCCGCTGTCGGCCTCCAGCTGGGATCGCGTGGAGCCAGAGAAGCGCGGCGGCAAGTGGCAGGAGCGCCCAGGGGGGGGGGGGAGGCCCGCCGTCTTTCGGTGACCACATGTGAACCCTACCCCCGCCCCCAACGATTTCCAAGGGGGGGTGGGGGTTCACTTCGTTCGGGAGCTCCCGAGCGAAGTGAGCCCCCACCGTCCCTTAGAAATCGTGGGAGGTTCGCGTGTGGTCGTCGAGCCCCTAGCCTTGCCCGCCCCGAGTGGTAAGGTTTCGGGTTGCGCACAGACAGCCTCCCGCAGGCACGCTAGTTCATGCCGCGCTGACGCGCCGGCGACGCCGGCGAAGGGGCTCCAGGTTGGAGTCTGCGACGCAGAAGCACCGATGTGCACGGTAAAGCCACTGGACCCGACTGAGTTCAACCTTCACGATCGGGGCCGCGATCGATTCAAAGTTGCACGATCGATGCGGTGTCAAAAACCTATGCGCGCGCCGACGCCGCGTGAACCCACCAGAGTCCCGGCTAGCCTCAACATGCCCCCCGACTAGCCCAGGGCGGTATCGACACCCCAACCTTCGGGCGCTCCGCGCCCCAGGGGCGCCATTGGAGGCGGCGCCATGGTATTGAGACAGGCCCGGGCTACTCGGCGGGCCTGCTGAGGCCAGCTCGGACGGGGCCAGGATGAGGATAAATGGGGACGAGGATCAATCAGTTCCAGAGCGATCTGGAACGCTCGCAGAGCGTTCCGGAACGCTCTTAGAAGGCTGCGGCGCCCCAGACATCCCCCAAGGCCGCCAGATCTCAGAGTTTCTCAATCTGTGCATGTGCGGTGCCGCTGCGCTTGACCTCGTTTCTTCACCGCTGTTCGGCCATGTGGCGTTGGCCATTGTGCCGCGGTGGTCGTGTTGTCGTTCTCCGTCCGACCTCTGTTGGCGCGGGACGTCGACAGCGGAGTTCACATCGGCAACATATTTGCCGACAGTGCGTTTTGTTGCCAGCAGTAAACGCTGCGTGGTGTTGACACCACAGTGGTCTGTGAGACCGTTGCGCTGAGAATGTTGCAGGCACGGCGGGTACATTCGATGAGAGTTATCGTCATGGTGGGAAAAAATCCTCACCCGAATTTATCCTCGTCCTGGTTTCGTCTGACCAGCTAAGAATACTCGGGGGGCCTAGGGCCAGCCAGGACGACCACACGGGGGGGCTGTTTGAGCGCAGCCCAAAGAAGCCCGCCGCCTTGCCCGTCCCGAGGGTCCCTCGAGGAAACGAAAACATGGACTTCGGTCGGACCGAGGTAGTGGAGCGGTTCGGGGAGGGTGCCCTAATGTTCTTCGTGTTTGTTGGCTGTTCTCGTGCATCGTGGGGGAGGGTACTCTCGAGTGCTCTTCAGTTTGGCCGGCCGACGATCTCATGTTCTTGAGCGATGATCTTGCATCCTTGGTCCAGCTGCAAGGCGCGTGGACCAGCGACGGAGCTGTTCCCGTACGAGATCGACGAGCTCCGTCGCCAAGCGAGGCCTCCCAGGCTCCTGTGGTGACCCGAATGGCCAGACGACGAGGATCACTGGCTGGGTGGAACTGGCTCGACGTCGACGTCGACGTCGACGACGACGACGACGACGACGACGACGACGACGACGACGACGACGACGTCGACGTCGACGTCGACGTCGACGTCGGCGACGGCGACGACGACGACGACGACGACGGCGACGACGACGACGACGACGACGGCGGCGGCGGCGGCGGCGGCGGCGGCGGCGGCGACGACGACGACGACGACGACGAGTGGGGGCGCATCGACCTCCGATCGCCCATGCATCGCCGACGGGGGCCCGATGCCCCACCCCGCCTAGGAGCGTGCGGCTTCGCCATCGGGGGCCTGTCGTCGCCGCTCGCTCGACGCTGTATCGCCGGTTCCAGGTCGACGTTCGTTCCCTCCCCGCCTCCCCTGAGCTGGCCCCCCCTCTCGTCCTTCCCTGGAGGAGGAGGAGGAGGATGAGGAGGAGGCGGAGGAGGTGGAGGAGGAGGAGGAGGAAAGGGAGGAGGAGGAGGAGGAGGAGGGGGAGGAGGAGGAGGCGAAGCAGAAGTAGTAGGAGGAGGAGGAGGCGGAAACTTGCGAGGTGGGATACGGGGATGGGTCTGGGTATGGGAGCGGGTCGGGCAGGCAGAGACAGTGGGGAGGGGCCACATTATTGAATCAACAGCATGGCAGCACATGGCACACTACGATCCCATTCGCCATGACATTGAATGTTTTTGTTTGGGGTATGTTGCGAAGTAGCGCGAAACGATGTGATCGGATGGTGGCGGTGAGGGAGCGTTTCGTGCAGTGAAGCGCGAACGAGCAGGGAGCAGGAACAGAGATTTGCATACGTCGACCCGTTCACCTGCATTAATTGCCACAACTGCGTCGACTGCGCGCCCAGCACGTTCTACATCGACTACAAGTATGGAGGGGCTGCCCGTGGCGGCTGGCGCCTGGTCGAGGGAGTGGCCAGCCCGAGCGACATCGGAGTAGTCTGGCGTACTTGTTCATCTGACTGCTCCGATGGGCGCGATCGTCCTTCCCCTCCCCTCTCCCTGCCTTCCGCCGCTTCTGCTCCTCCACATTCCCCTTCCCTCCACTATCCCCTTTCCCTCTCCTCTCCCCTGCCCTCCCCGTCCCCCCACTCTTCCCCTCGGGTTTTCCTCCTCCAAATGAGTACTCTCTCCCCCGATGCTGCGCTAATTTTCCAGAACCTCGTATATGGTTTTTCTCACAGCTTCGCACGAGATCAACCCGAGGTGGTTTTCGACGCTTGCTTTCCAATCAGAACGCTTTCAGAGTGTCAACAACTTGTGGTCCCGTCGCAGGATTGGCCGCATTTCGGGATCGGCGTTTTGCTCCTGTCGTTCAGGACGGCGCTCTTGGCTCTTGGCTCCAGCGCGGGCCGCACTCGTTCTTGTTGCCCCCTGGGCCTGGCGAGATGGCCTTTGAGAGGAGGAGGAGGAGGAGGAGGAGGAGGAGGAGGAGGAGGAGGAGGAGGAGGAGGAGGAGGAGGAGGAAGAGGAGTGGGAGGAGTGGGAGGAGGAGGAGGAGGAGGAGGAGAAGGAGGAGGATTCTCTTCCCCGCCCCCTTCCCCCCATCGCTGCTTCTTGCTCAAAAAAACGCCCCCTTCCCCACCGCTCGAGCGGCTGCTGGCCCTGGACACATCATCGCTCCGGCGCCGCGCCCAAAAACTATGCAGGGTGCACTCTGCGGCAGGCGCTCGACCACGCGCGGCCCCCCGTCCTCCTCTTGCACCGGGCGTTGTGGCGGGGGTGGGGAGCGAGGACCCAGACCCCCTCGCGTTGTGAAAACATCACGACGGGAAGTTGTTCCTAATTTTTGGCCTCTGGGGGGCCTTACCGGGCCCTGGGACCGTAAAAAATAGACTCAGGGTGATATACCGGTTCCGGGGAAGGGGTCCAGACCTCTGGGGTCGACGTTGTGAATAAGTCACGACGTCGGAGGTTTGGGGAGATTGTTTTGCACTTCCTGGTTAACCAGGCCCCCCCTCCCTCCGGTACCGGTAACGGTCGTACGTGGGGGGGGAGGGCGGGTGTTGGACTCGTATGCTGGTGCTCGCGCGCATACAACGGCGATCGCAGCGCAGCCGCCCCCCGACAAGCCCTACCCCGCCCAAGCGTTACCGTTACCCAGCCCCCACTCCCCCCCTGGGTAACGATCGGTACCAGACATAACTAAAAACAGTATCGGGCATGTGGCATACTGCCCGCCGCGAACTGGACCGTCATCCCTGCCGAACGTCAGTGCAGCAGAGTGCCCGGACGGTCGCGCGCCATTCGCGGTGCTCACCGCCCCGCAGTCACGCTGCATGGCTTTTCTCCAGCTTGGTGGGCGTGCCGTGGCACATCGCCCGATGTGCGCCGTCCACGTGCACACGGCGCATCTGGCGCACCCCTCCGTGCCCCGCGCGCCTGGTGCACCCTGCGCGCTTGGAGCTTGCGGCGCAAGAAACACTTGGCGTACGGGCGCATCTGGCGAGCCAGGCGCGCGTGGCGCGCCTGGTGCGCGCGCAGCGCACCCCGACACGCGTGGCGCACTCCGCGAGCCTGGCGATCCGTCCTTTCTGTCCCTGTCCCCTTCGTCGCGCCTCCCGCTTCCCTTCCCGCTCCCTCGCACCCCTCGCCTGCTGCCGCTCGCCTCCCGTCCCCAGCCCCCCTCCCGTCCCTCCTCTTGTCCTCCGCTCCCCTCCCCTCCGATTTCTCGCCCCAGCCCATTGTCGCTCCCCTCGCGGACCGTCGTCTCTCTGGGATGGAGCCGTTCGATTAGCAGCTCGATCAAGCGCTTTCTCACTGGGGTCTGCGCAAGTGAAGGTGGCATCGGCGCGTTTGGTCAGCAGCCCCGTGCCGCCCGCGCGGCTTGCTTTTTGCCTCCTCTGGGATTTCGTCTCCGCGGGGGGTGGAGGTGCGGGGGCGACGACGTCGCGGGGCCAGCCTGGCGCATTCGTGCGGCTGGTGTGTGTGTGTGTGTGTGTGTGTGTGTTTGTGTGTGTGTGTGTGTCACCTCTCCTGTCTACGTAGCTGTTGTCAAGTCGCTGAAGCATGGACCACTTTGGGCTCAATCAGGAGCGGCTCTGGTTCTCGGGTCGTTCCTGAAGTCCAGGTCGGAGACCCTGCTGCTGTCAGTGCATTGCCGTGGCCAGGCAAGCGCCTTCGTTCCTTATTCAGCGTTCCTGGTGGTAGCGCGATGGCAGTAGGCCGCACATGGCTTGAACATGCCATGGTTGTTTCAGAAGCTTCGCGACCTTTGAGGACCCTGCCGCTATCCCGCGCCGCTCATCTGCATTCGGCACCTCTTCTTTCCCTCGCATTCCTCCCCCTCTACTGCACCCCTCGCCTGATCTTTTGCTTCTGCCTCTCCGCCCTTTTTCCCAACCATCCTGTGTTGGGTCCTCGTTTTGAAGAGACAGCGCCCCGCGTTCTCCTCCTCCTCTCCTCCTCCCCCCCTCCTCCCCCCTCCTCCCTCCTCCCATGCGTGCCTCTGCCCTCCGCATGTCCATTTCGGCACTCTGCCCTCCGCATGCCCATATCGGCACACCCCTCACACGGCTTGTGACCCCACAGGGAGCTCCACCCAAGTCCCCAGTGGCCGCGATCACATACGTCCATTCCGCCCACCACATGCCCATTTCGGCACACTCCTCATACGGTCCGTGGCCCCACAGGGTGCTCCACCCAAGGCCCCAGTGGCCGCGTTCACACGCGTCCACCCCGGCCACCGCATGCCCATTTCGGCACACTCCTCATACGGTCCGTGGCCCCACAGGGGGCTCCACCCAAGACCCCAGTGGCCGCGTTCACATGCGTCCACACCGCCCACCGCATGCCCATTTCGGCACACTCCTCACACTGTTCGTGGCCCCATAGGGAGCTCCACCCAAGACCCCAGTGGCCGCGTTCACATGCGTCCACCGCGCCCACCACATGCCCATTTCGGCACACCCCTCACACGGTTCGTGGCCCCATAGGGAGCTCCAGCCAAGGCCCCAGTGTCCGCGTTCACATGCGTCCACCGCGCCCACCGCATGCCCATTTCGGCACACCCCTCACACGGTTACCGGCCCCATAGGGAGCATTGCGCCCAAGGCCCCAGTGACAGGGTGCGCATGCGTCCACACCGACCACCGCATGCCCATTTCGGCACACCCCTCAGGCGGTTCGTGGCCCCATAGGGAGCATGGCGCCCAAGGCCCCAGTGGCAGGGTTCGCATGCGTCCACCGCGCCCACCGCATGCCCAGTTCGGCACACCTCTCACACGGTTCGCGGCCCCAAAGGAAGCTCCACCCACGGCCTCTTGGGTCTAGGTGTCTGGGGGGCTCCCGCATGAGCTTTCCTCGCCCCGAGACGCAGCGCAATGAGCTCGGTTGTCAGCAAAACGTGCCTGTGGTGTTGGATCCTCGTTCGAAGAGAAAGTGACCCCCCACCCGGATCGTGGTCTCATAGGGAGGCCAGTCGAAATGTGGACCCAGAACGCGGTATCCCCAATTGCTTATGGTTGGGTCCTCCGTCCGGATCATTTTTTCTGTGTGTGTATGTGGAAAGGTGGACACCGCATGTAGTATGAGCAGCACGTTGTTTCCATCACCGAAGAACAAACACATTATTTGAGCACACAAGCCCTACGAGCATGACGGCTTCGGTGGGCAGCGCTTGTGAGCACTACGCTAACTATGAGTCCTGGCCTTTGTGTCGCCTTGAGTCGCACTTCGCTGCTGGGTTGTTCCCCAGGAGGGGAGCCGGCGTGGATCTATCGTTGGATCCCGTATAACGCAGCACTGTTGAGGGCACACTCGACCTAGAGGCAGTTCCCAGCAGTCTCGTTGCCCCCGTCCCCACTTCCAGTCTAACTGCTTGTTTCGCAGGCCTCAATATTGGATGTGCTGTGGACTCCTGTTGAGGCCTCGTGAGACGACGCCGCGGTAGGCAAGCCTCGGACAGGTGATGCCTGCAGTGCTTTTTCTGCCCAGTGCGCCCCCGTGTGCTGCTGGGGCCAGTTGTGGCCCCCGGCGGGGCCCTCTGGGACCACAGGGTTATGATGCTCCAGCCTGCTTTAGCCTTGATCACCGGGGAGAATTTCGAGCACCAGGGAAGTAGAGCTCTTCTCGCCATTCGACACTCCGTCGAGGAGGAGGGGGAGGAGGAGGAGGACGGGGAGGAGGAGGAGGAGGAGGAGGAGGAGGAAGGAGGAGGAGGCGGATGAGGAGGAGGGGAAGGAGGAGGCGGAGGAGGAGGAGGAGGAGGAGGAAGGAGGAGGAGGAGGAGGAGG